GTCAAAAATCTGCATACTTATGTAGGTATATAATAACCGTTTGATTTAAACTTCAATCATATACATATATATCAATTTTGACAAAATACCATAAAACTTACAATGAAAAATCTAGGACCAATTAAATTTATCGATTAGGAGTTTCGTTAATTGATAAAATTTTTAGATTTGAAAATTATGTATGATTAGCAGCCGTGGGGGCCCTTAATGTCTCGGGGCCCCTTGTTCTTGCCTACCTTGCCTATATGCTAATTGCGCCACTGGCAATTTTCCCCATGGTGGGGTTGGTTTGTAAGGAGGGATGTTTGATTTTGGGGAAACGTGTGGGAAGTTATGTTCCAAGTGATAAGTCCATCAGCAGTTTCGGGTAGTTGTGATGTTGCCGTGAAATAAATGAAGGAACGGAAGTTATCGTCGGGTTTGTAATCGCGGTATATGAAGTGGCAGTTTTGGTATTTATCTTGGTTTAGATTAGCAGTAGATATTTGAAGTAATGTAAAGTGGGTAAGAACGAATGTTATGGCTTGGCGAAGGTTCACCATTTTGGAGAAGTTTGTATTGAAAAACAAATGTATGAAAACAACCAGTGATGTACTCTGATCAAAACGATAGAAAAATACAATTTACAGTTTAAACTATGGATGTATTTATTAGTGAAACAACATTTTGTATCTAGCACAGTGTATCTAGTGTTGAATAAAAAAATCCTATTATATTTAATGCAATACAATAAATAATTTAGGTTTGTGAAATACATATTATGATATTCATCATATAACATTTCATATTCAACAACTTATATAAGTAACTTTTAATGCACTAATGGTATCCAAATTGAAAATGTTGATGGTCACGAAGTCTTTTGTGAAAACAGGGTTAACTACAGTGTTGGTCATAAGTTCGGCATTTGTAATTCCACCCCCACCCCCGCCCCAATCCACCACCACTCCGACCCAAAGCCTACGTGAGTGGCGGACGGATTTGTTTTCAAACGCTGTTTAGCGGTTGTTTTTGATTAGAATTTAAAACGCATCCGTAACATTCTGATTCTGCACAGGGGTACGGATGAGTTTTAAATTTTGTTCAAAAATGACAGTTAAGCATACTTTTGAACAAATAAATGTTTTCCCATCTCCCACACCCTCTGAACGCTGAATAGTATCAAATTGTTTCCATAATATCATGTAGAGGACGTCAGAGTAAGACATCATAATTGCATAACCCTGGCAACCCTGATTTTATGTAAGTACGCGTCAAAAATATGTACATTGAATGTATTCAGTATCCTCCCTCAATGCCGACTTCATGTTCTCGATCATGCTAGAAGAAGACATTTAGAAGCATTTTAAATTTCAATATGCGTCCATAATTTCCATAGGAAACATTCAAATATTACGTCATCAAAAAATCTCCTATTTTCTATCACCCACACCCCCTTCTCCTATCCTACCAATGTTAGGTGTAAAATGTGTAGGATAGGCGATCCAAAACCACCCAACTCAATTTTTGATTACGTAATATCTGGACGTTCCCATACAAGTCATGTAAATTTAAAAATAACTAAAATTTTAGTTTTGTATGCATCCGATGCTTACGTATGTACATATCTCCTTGTTTATCAGACTTATGCATCTCGTGCACTTATGTTTAAGTCTTTTCTGAATTAAGTGTCGATTGCACTTTTCATAGGTAAATCCTTTTCATAATTAATAGGCAGTTTGCGTAGTTACGTTTTTAAAATTTCCGTAACTTTTCCGTAGCTTTCCCTATCTTCTAGTTTGAAAGGTAACGCAAATATTGCACATAAGTGATAAAACGTTTGACAACATATTGCCGTATAGCAAAATTGATGTCACTCTATAACTAAAAGTATGAGAAAAATAGTAATTAAGGTACGAATCTAAGGAACCAGGGGCCCGGTCAAGGATAACGATGTAATCGGGATCTTCATTAAATGCTGCCATTCCCCACATTCTTGTCAATGGGTTCACAGGTGGCGAAAATATAAGGGCGACGTGACAATTGGAGAAAATCAGGTTAAAGTTGTCCCCTTTAAAGGGGAAATTCGGAATAATTCCGAATTCATCGTGGCGGCTGGCTTCGGCCATAACGTATCTGTTGTTTGTGGCGTCTACTTCGTCGATGACGAAATTCAGGTTGACATTTAGATTTTGGAGGTCGGAAATAATATGCAAATTCTTGTAGTCCCTTCGAGCATAAAATACTTGGATGGTACAATGTGGGAGGGTTTTTATAAAAGAAGTCCAGGTGATTGTGGGTGTGGTTTTATCAGTGTCGTTTGCCATGCAAAACTTGTTATGGTTCGAGAATATTGTAAGTAGTAGAATTATTTTGGCGAACATTTCGAGCTTTAACTTTTAAACAATAGTTTTGTTATACTTATTTTGTGAATGTGTCAAGAATAAATATTTGACGAATGTGATATGTTTATTTCCAAATCAAACATACACACACTGTATTTGGAACGTTGTATCTAAAAATTTTGATTGCTTGAAATAGTGAGGTACAATTTATTGAGAGGAGATTAAGAAGCGATGCTTATTGCAACTGGCGACATTAACGATACTCAACCAACATATGTATTTAACATACATATGTAAATACTTGTATAACTGGACAATTTTCAGAAGTTATTAAACCGTATTGGTTTCCTGTCTACATTTTTCATAAGTAAACACTTCGCCATAACGTAATTCAAACGTAACTGTCTACATACCTACACGTGTATCGATACATGAGTAAGTAGAAGCAAGGTTGTAGATCTACAATCTGATTGTAGATCTACAATCAGCATACAACCGTGCTTAATTTTATAAAATATATTACCGGTGAAACTAAAGAAAAATGCATTATGGCATAAATTATGCCGGATAATGATGTGAAATAAATCGAAACAGATTAACATTTCTTGAGAAAGTTCCTTAAATAGATGCATATGTATATATAAGTAAATACATAAACATAATACGTGCATATTATGCATATTATGCTTATTTTAGGCATTTCTGAATATTGGAATTTATTGGCACAAATAATATTTACCAGGCTGCTTATATTGTATCATGTTTAAATGATAACGAGATCAGATTGTGAATATGTATTATCTAAATATGTATGTATATATTAAATTTCATATGTAGTTATCAATGAGAACTTCTGAAAAATTTGGTTCGCATTTTGTAAATATGGTTTTCTGTAAGTATGCAATATGTACGTACATATATATGTATATGTATTTTATGGTAAAAAAATTATTAGATGAGAAAGTATCACATACATACATATTTATCTAAGGTGGATAAAAAACACTCATGCAAAACGTAACAAAAATGTTTATGATTAGATATATTGATTACTTTATACAAAAAGTAATTTGCACAAAAATCTTCAAGAACATACATATTTAAGTATATGCAAATATCATTTTTCTAGGTTCACATAATGGTGCTAAACATTCTATCTGGTTTTAAGATATTTGTTCCAATTTGATATTTTACTACTTCAGTGTTGACTAAACTTGCAAATACTGTAGCCCGAGCATTTCTTCTATATTTACTGATATTCTTAATGTATGTAAATAGGTAATTTCTTAATGAAGAAATCCTGTAAAATATGTCCGGCCTTATTTTTTGTGAAACTGGTAAATCCGTTAAGTCATAAGATTGGAAACCGTGGAAATTTAGAAAATTACACGTTACCTTCACCATTTTTGTGTGGTCACAAAATTGTAAGTGATTTGTCCTGCCTCAGGTATTGCGTTACTTTTAATATCAAACTTATAACACATGAATACGATATAAGCCGAAACTTATTTGTCATGGATGGATGCCCACGTATCCAAATCAATAAGTCAAGATGAAAAAATTATGGACAAACCAATTTCCTTAGCACAAACCGATTTTTACTAGATACATACATGCCATCCATCAATTTCGTAACTCAAAAATCTCCAATTTCCAGACACCTTCCCCTCTCCCGTAGCGTAATTTATGGGCGTCGCCTTATCCAAAATTTTTTTTGACTCGTTTGACGAACGTTACATATTTAAATAGTTGCAGCAAATATTTATATCGACAAAAGTCCAGTGAAACAATCAGTCTGTCGACATTTATTTCCAAATTTTATCGCTCTTACAAGGGACACTCACGACCTGTCGTTTGAGTCCAGGGTACCCACTATGTTTTTTAGAATCTACTAGGACCCCAGATGAAGGATTCATTCATATTTCCGTGTAAAACTCATATTTGGCGACGTGGCGTGGCGCCAAATTCGCCAAAATTGAATGTTTTTATTTTTGAAACCGCCATAACTTTTGAAATCCTGGACGGATTTTCAAAATTTTTGGCAGAAATCATGACAAAGAGTTCAACTTTCTTATTCCATGAAATTTTTTCTAAAATTATCGCTTTTAACTTTTCGCAAAATTTCGTAATTTTCTTCGAAATGGGGGTTCGTCGAAAAAATCCTAAAAATATTGCAAAAATTAGAAATTTTTTATTTTTATTTTTTTGTCAAAAATTTCGACTTTTGTGATCATTTTAAGCATAAAATTTTGAAAATCCGACATAAAATGCAAAAGTTATGGGGGTTTGAAGTTGGTCGAAAATGCAAATTTTTAAGTTTGGCGCCACGCCATGGCGCCAAATATGAATTTTACACGGAAATATGAATGGATCCTTCATCTGGGGTCCTAGTAGATTCTAAAAAACATAGTGAGTACTCTGGACTCAAACGACAGGTCGTGAGTGTCCCTTGTTAGATTTTTTCAATGGTTTTGCTTGCAAAAAAGTAAAAAAAACTCCAAAAAGGCAAAATTACAAACAACTGAGTAGCAAAAAATAATTGATGTATTCTTCATATTAAGTTGCATCTTTTACTTTTCAGAGTGCGTACACACGACAAAGTCTTATTCCGCATCGCAACTCATTTAGCAAACTTACGAAGATCAAAATACTTCTATCTTCTATCGTTCGATTCGCAAAATATGACTTCTCAAATCTTTCCAATCTCGCAAATCTACTGAATAACACATATTTTGGTACTATTTCCATGGATATCTTTAATTTCCCCTCCTGGCGATGGTAACGATGAGTTTTGCGAAATAAGAACATGAACAATTGCTGGGTAAATTTGCGAAAAAAATCCCATGGTTTTCCACTTAAATTTTTGCGAAATCTCGCATATCTCGCAAAACGTCGCAAGTTATGTTGATATGCTCAATTTGCGAGATATGCGAAGGTCGACGTGAGTACGCACAGAGATTAATTCCTACATTCAATCCGCATATTTCACATTCGTTACGTTGGTAATTACCTTATCAGTTCCTCCACTAACCCATTTTTTATTTAGCACGTATTCATTACAAAATTCTGAAGCAAATGATACACACATGGATACAAACTCTAATCTCCATTTAATTCAGTCCGTGCATACATAATTTCAACATATTCCAATTGAACTCTGCCCGAATAATGGGCCACATCACAATGGAAGGACGCATGAAGATCCAGGTGTCAATCATTCGGTTATCTTGCAGATATGTATCCCATTCTAAACATTATCTTCCAGCTTAAACTTCAGATCGTACCGTACATCATAAATCTTCGCACGTAAAATAATTCGCATTCGTAAATTTCTCCACAAATATTGCAATTATAAAATATTCGCGAAATGGGTTTGAAACAATTTTTCCGAGACGGTTCCGTCATCAAAGGTGCGGCAGGTTTCATCATTGGGAACGCGTTCATAGATGTCGTCGCCGTTTTCACGTCCGCCTTTGTGATCCCGGTTTTCGGGATATTTGGCGGCATCCCGGAATTTAAGGGGTCTACCTTCACCATCAACAATTCAAAATTCTATCACGGCGAATTTCTTGATGCCATAGTAACCTTTGCGATCGTTGGGTTGGTCCTATACCTTTGTATCATCCTTCCATTTGACCTGATAAGAAAGTACGTCATCTCTGAGGATCCCCCCGAGGTGCGAGACTGTCCTCGATGCTGGGTCGAAATTAATAGCAGGGCCAGCAAGTGTCCCTTTTGTACGGCGGATATTGAACCACTTTGGGTAGTTGGGGATGAGGAGGAGGTAATATTTCGTCGTACTAATTAATAAAAGACCTAAGTACAGTCGATGCTTAATTCAGAAAAGACCTAAGTGCAGTCGATACTTAATATAGAAAAGACCTAAGTGTACCGAAAAAAGTTGAAAAAAGACCTACGAACAAGTATGTATTTACTTACTTATGGCTACATCGTGCGATATATAAAGAATCGTTTTTGCAAGATATAGCCATAAGTAAATACATACTTGTACGTAGGTCTTTTTTTACTTTTTTTCTGTATACTTGGCTCTTTTCTGAATTAAGCATCGACTGCACTTATCTCGTTTCTGAATTAGTACGACGATTTGTAAAACGAGCGTGATTAAGAGCATGCTACTAATGAAAGTGTTAGTTGGTTTGTTGTCTGTAAAGTAATGAATGGTATGTAACAGGAAATTTAGTGAAATTTAGATGGGTAGTGTAGCTAATTAAAATTGTCCAGTATTCGGTTAATTGTGTTCCGAAGCATTCCTCAATTTAGAAAAAAATTGCGAGTGTTTTTTCGATCCTTGAAAATTTGTTTTCGTACGTTTGGAAAACACGTTTTACGATTTATTGCTCTCATTTTAAAACAAATAGAGATAACAAATGTTTGTTTTCGGATCCATTAAGCCTATTAAATTCCGGATGAGTCCTTACAAGATTTCAAAATTTAACATTGTTCCTAAGAGAATTAAGCGAGCGGAGATAACTGACACTTTCATTAGTAGCATGGTCTTTCTTGCCATATCCAAGTTAATTAAAGTAACTTTTAAATTAACGATTAATAATATTTAATAGGAATCCACCAGTAAATGTTCATGTCATAAGAAATGGGATTGTAATTCTACGTCGAATTGCAGCAAGTCTTCTGCGTTATGCTGCTCAAGAATTTTTCTTCTTGAGGGAAAGGATTCCACTCTGGCGACTCAAACCAATCTGAATCCAATTGTTCCAAGTTCCCAAGAAATGGCGAAAAATCAGGATACGAAGGAACTTGAATTCCGTGAAGATGTTGACCCTGCGTCGTTAGGACGTAATGAGATTAGAGGCTCAAGCTCGAGTGATGAGTATTCTGTATAACTATTCATTGGGTCAGTTGGAGACAAGTCGAGGCCCGTTATACGATTTTGTTTGGATTATCGGTAGTTTTATTATTTGCAGTACAAAACATTTCGGAACATACATATATATAAATTACCAGATAAACATGTTGTATTCATATATCATCTCTAAATGTTAACTAACTTGTGCACCATATCGATAAGGCGATAACCATACCATTTGTTATACAATAAGTTGTGCCACAAGTTGTACCATTAGTGGTACCATAAGTTGTAAAGTAAATTATAAATGAAATTGTAGCCTAAATCGTAGAATGCAGGAATGTCACGGAAACTTTGACCGGACGGACTTTTCGAAATTATAATATAGATGTCTAAACTGCACAAGTGGACCGATCTAGGGCATGTAATATCGATATCGGTTTCGGTATTTCGGTATTTCGGTATTCGATATTCAAATACCGAAATATCGATATTTCGGTATCTAAATACCGAAATTAAAATCTTGTAATTTATGATTGTAAATAATTAAGCAAATCTTCGGTTGGTTAGCAATGATATATAATTTCAAATTTTTTACCCCATTGACGAAGCAAGGTCACAATGTGATAAAATGATGACATCTCTATACTTCTTTAAAAACATCGTCTCAAACCTTATTTGAAATTTCGAGACCACATAATGTTTACAGTAATTAATTTCGAGATCACACGAGTGGGGGAGTTACAAAAAAGACCCTGAGGTCACGAAAAACATTGTGGGCGTGGCAGTGGGTGGGGAAAACTTAACTTATATTCAAATTAGTGAGGTTTTCACCCTGTGGGTCTGCCAGAATCCCAAGGTCACACGCTTCGGGCATGGCTGCATTACATGACAAAATACCTCAAGCCCCACCCATAAGGGGTGTGGCCATCGGTGCTTTAAGCGTTAGGCAGTCAAGTCAATTACATATCGCGAGACAGATAATTTATCGGAATAGAATAGGGACTACAAATATGACCCCCAAATACAAAAAAAGCATAGCCTCGAGTGGGCGTGGCCTTCACCGCCTTGGTAGTCTCCTCACATAGGATGTCATGCGACACGAATAATTTATCGGAACAGAATAGAGACCACAATTATGACCCCCAAATACACAAAAACACCCCCCGAGTGGGTGTGGCTTTTAGCACCTTGGGTAGTATCCGGATATAGGTCATGCAACACCAATAATTTATCACCAGCGAAAGGTACTTTGGAAGGTAACCATACTATGGCATGTACATAATACCCAATATGTTTTACAATTAGATATTTCAATGTGGAAATATCTAAGTTGGAATCGTAAAAATTATGAATTAAAATAGTTAAGAACTATGAGTAATGCTTAGAATAACATCAATAAATTGAGTAGTTTTTTAATGTTAAAATTTTATTCTCCGTCACCTGTTGTTCTAATGACTAACAAGTTTTATGTGTTTGCTTTAAATTTTAACATTTGGTAATATGATCTCAAAAAACACAAATTATCAATGGTATCATCGTTTAGACTGGCACGGACTTTGCTAACCAGATACCCGGCTGAAGAGAATGCTCGCTCGGATTCTACGCTTGTTGGTCTAATTGTCAGCAAACTATCATACACAATTTGAAGATGAACTCCCCTTGTTCCCCCATTTTGAAGTAGAGCAAGTTCCTTCTTGATCGTGGACAACAAATTTTGTTTACCCTGCGATTTCTGTGAGTGTGCAGAAGATATAGCCCTTTGTATTGCTTCTTGAAGTTCCATTTCCAACGCTGTTTTTTCCTTATTTTTTTTCTTAGGCGAGGTTAAGTGAGATGAGGTGTCTCCATCGAAGTCATCCCGAGAATCATCTTGTGGAATTTCATGAAGCCGTTGAATTAAGTCACGAACATTGTTTGCAATCGAAGTGATGGACGGCATTCCGAATGGATTATCTTGATTTTTTGGGACAGATTCATGCTTCCCCGTATGTAAAAACTTCAGCATACCAGAGTAATTGGTTCGACGCTGTTGTATTCGTCGTGTCAATGCTGCAGCCAATTGCGCTGCCACAGTTGAATCTTGGACTGCAATATAGCGTCAGCCGTATGCAAATTCGTGTCTCTTCGACATAAGGCTTCAACTGCAAGCTTAACGGGCTCAAGTGCATCTGAGAGACTTGAAAGTGTTCCCCATTCTTGTTCGGAAAATGAGATTTCGGAATTGATGTCAATCAAAGATTTTAAAATTGAAACTTTCAGGGTGACAAATCGCTTAATCATGTCGAATAAACTGCTCGATCGAGTCCTGGAATCAAGCTGCAAATGTAACCCTTTTCCTATATCGTCCAACGTGTGCTTTTGTAAAACTTCGTCATTTTTCTTAGGTGACTTTCTGAAAATTTTCACGATACGCCGAACTTTATCAATTAAAGGTCGAAAATTGTCGATTAAGTCCCTTGGCGTATCTTCATCCGCTTCGCGGGCGTCAAGCTCAACGGTGAGCAAATCCATCTCTGAGCCTTCCCCATCATCCACCTCCGGAAGATCGATATTGTTGCTCTGTTGCTCTTCATTGCTCTTCTTAGGCTTCGTATAAACAACGTCCATAACTCCTAACTGGATTGCATGTGCCAGACACTGCTGCTGAAGAGTGGGGGACATATTTCCGACTTTGGTCATTACTGAAGCTCCGTCCGTGCAGATGCAAATGACATCAGTTTTCAATGACAATCCGAATTCTTTCAGTCAGTCGGCGACTAGCTCCAGACATTTCTCCGCAGGTGCACCTCCGTGAATCCTGACCAATCCCAAACTCCAGAAAATGTCGTCACGATGGACGTTCACATTTATGTACTTACAATTTAAGTTTTGTTTACTGAACGTCAGATATATTTACATATGTATACACATAATTAAGAGGGGAATATTTACAAACCTTCTGTTTCGTTTACTCGTCCATTCATCGAAAGTTACAGAAAATTTCTTGCCCAAATTTTTAAATTTCCCGATCTCACTTGTTACATGGCCACGGATTTTTTGAGCGTGCTGGATAACATTGTTTCGAATAATCTGAGGTGTTTTTGGAACGTCTATGTAGCCGCTGCTTGTGAACAGGTCGCGTAAATCCACTGACGTGGAAAAAACAGCGAACGGTAATCCATCCAGGGAAATTAATCGAGATAGCACAGCCTCCAATGATTTGTCTTCCAATGTAGGAATCAATTCAGAAATTTTCTGCTGTTTACTTCTGGGAATGAGGTCACCATTTTCTGTGGAGGTAAATGTAAATTTAGTAAAGCTCTGATTTTATCTTTAAGAAATGTGATTACCTGTACTTTTGTCCCCAAGCTCCGTTCTTTTCTTGATAAAAATTTTGTGTCTGGTTCGCAAGTGGACATGCAGTCCAGAGGTTCTTCCTCGTGTATTTTTTAAAACTTGGTCGCATGTCAGACACTTTGCGTCTTGAGTTCCCTTTATTTTTGAAAATAAATCCCAAAGTGATCGGGTTTCGGCAGTTTCGTCGGACGGAGATGTTTGTTGTGATTGAGATGGCGATTGTTCCTCCATTTTAGGGATAAATTTAAATGTTGGGAAAACTTATTTTGGAAAGTATTTTTAGAAAAAAAAACACGTATGTATATGTGAAGCAAGTTCAACTTTCCCGCTCGTTTTCACGATGCTGGACAAAGTAAGACTTGTGTTAAAATTGCGAATGTTCGATTTTATAATGTCGATTTTATAACAGCTATGACCACTTGGGGGTGTGGTTCTTGGTCGTTGGAGGTGACGATAAAGACCTCCATTCCACCCCAATATTTTTATTGTACCGCACGACACGCATATTAGGATCTTACCCAAAGCGCCGTAAGTCACACACACCTGGGGGGTGTGGTTTTCTTGTAATTGGAGATTTTCATCGGGGCCCTCATTCTACCTCAATAATTTTTTTGTGTCGCACGACACGCGTATTAGGATCTTACCCAAAGCGCCGTAAGTCACACCCACCCAGAGGGGTATGGTTTTTTGAAATTGTAGATGCTCATCGGGGTCCACATTATACCTCGATAATATTTTTGTGTCGCACGATATACATTATGAGGATAGTATTCAAAGCGCCGTAAGTCACACCCACCCGGGGGTGTGGTGTTTTTGTAATTGGAGATGTTCATTGGGGTCCTCATTCTACTGTTACGCCGATATAAATAAATGAAAGAGCATAAATGAAATTTTGGGAAATTTCGTTTTTATTTTTTATAAAAATTCGTCTTACGTTGAACATATGGATAGTAAAGTGTATCAAAGCCGTTGGTTATGCTGTAGCGCAAAGCTAATGGTTATGAGGAGGAAGAGGGATTCGTTGTGTACGTTTTCTGGAAATCTTGTGGGTTTTTATACCCAAGATTTCTGCTGCAGAATTTGGGACTTGAAGGGTCATCATGCATCCGGTGCGTGACTGTCCAAAGTCCAGAGTTTCTGTGAAGAACTCTTTCTTGAGAAGTCCTTGAACTTTTGTTATGTGTATATTGGAATATATCTATTAGTTTTTATTTGTACATACATATGTACCTATTTGAATTATTGGATATATTTCTTAACAATATCACCTATTAGTTTAAACACACATGTACGTATTAAATTATGTGAATTATAAAATATGCATAACAATGCGTAACATATATCTCCCCTCCTTAATGAAGATTTGGTAATCGTTGATATTTTTACATAATTCATTATTTTAAAAAAAATTTTAATCGTAATAACTAGCTAAAAACTTCTAACCTATTATAATTATTATAAATGTTTTACAAAATTTTACTAGTAATAGCCTTTTTAATTTCTTTTCGAATTTGACACATGTCTTTCTCTTTAAAATCAAAAGTCTTCTCTCTTGAAAGATAATCCACAAATGTACATACATACGGTCCACAATCATAAAAATTATATTGCATATTCTTTTCATGTAATATGTACGTATTATACTTCCATGGCTGTTTTGCTACGTTATTATACATATTATCGACACGATTTAAAAATGTACATATCAAATCTAGATCATTTATGTCCTGGAAATAGTGTAGAGAATCATACAAAGTAATCATATTCTTTTTTCGATCTGCTGCTATTAGTGACCAATGACCCCGGATGCATCTTGGGAAAATCATAAATCTAGCCATTGAGCTGTTCTCATATTTTTGAATATTTTCTAAACCCTTTTTTAAAGAATATAAAAAATAAGTACCGAAATTTACAATATTATCGTTACAATGTTCCTGTCTTTCGGATATTAATTGTATATAACCATCAATAATTGCATCTGAAAACCATTTTTTAGGTAAAAGTGTAGTAAGATCGTTGTCGTATATACTTACATTTCCAATTGTAATCACATTCTTTTTAGGAATTATTGGATGGCAAAGGGATGGAGATGAGATAACTGGCGGAGATGTGACATCAACTGGCGGAAGTGTCAAAATTGGTTGTTGGGTTATATTTATCCCTAATTTAGTTCGCAATTTTTCTTCGAATTGCCGAATATAATCGTTTTGCTCCAGGATTTGTAATTCGATAGATTCCATTTCGGTTGAAATCGGAATTAGTTCCTGATCGGGTCCAGTTAAATATGATGGGTCAATTTTATCTATTTCGCTAAAATTTTGCGCAATTTTGTTGTCGTCGTTTTCTAT